ATGCTGCTATCTCCGAGACTTATAGTTCACAAAAAAATAACTCTTGCACGCCTTGCGTGCCTATGTTTTAGGTCATGTCTGTATGTTCATAATCAAATATTCTAGAATTCAAATAATTATTTATTAGTACCAGTAATAAATAATGATATTACTGAAGTTGAGTTAAATAAATGTGAATTTTCAAGCAGCTAAATGAATTTAAATTCTGTTAACCCTAATTGTTGAATCAATTTTTTTAATACATGTAATTATTGCATTTCTAGTTTTCTGATTTCATCACACAGTGTGACTAACAACAAATAAAGGTCCAGAGTCTACCTTTTGTTTAGTTTACACATAATTCATTAAAAATGGACATGCGATTTGTGGAAAATTTGTCCTTTGTTCACAATAGAGGTACATGTAATAATAATTCTTACACAATGTGGCTAAAATCATTATAGTAGAATACTACTCTATATAAAAGACCTTGTTAAATGAGCTATAGAGTGTTGTTGAGTATACATGATGTAGATTGTAGAGTGAGAAGTGATATGGAGAGAAGTGTAGAGCAAAAACAATGCGTACAGTATACAGTGTAGACTTGTCTTGGTGTCCAGTACTGTGTGGACATTGAAGTAAAGTGTAGACTATATAAATGTACATACATGTACAGATGTATGACTGAGTAGAGAACGTAAATTTAAGTGCACTGTTATGTATGGTGTGTAGGGTAGAGATGATGAGCATGATCTCGCTACTTCATTTGTACATGTATTTGTCACACTTCTGAAAGAATGCCAGCGTTGTTTGAAGTGTCTATGTGAAGCAGAAAAAAATTAATTGCTCCTTATTTGAAAGGCTTTTCAAAAAAGAGGAATCATTATAGCATTTTCCATTTTGAAATATCTCTTTTTATTTTGGAGATTTATGTCTTTGTATTATGCAAATGAGGAGAGTGATAAAGTCATAAATCCTTCCACTAAAATATATAACACTGAATCAAAAATACATGTATCTCTAGAAATACCGGTACAGGTGTTAGAGCAGTGTTCTTTAAACTTGGCACTCCCAACAATCTAATGAGGAGAGTTAAGGTAACAGTATACCCCAAATGACTGTCATTCATTAGCGCTGCTTTACGATCGGACATTTGACGCAAACCCCAGTAAAGTATATATTTTCTAAAGGCTTAAGAATTGTAAATTACGAGGTATATGTATTGAAATGAAAAACAATTAAGGTTTTCCAAATAACTGTACCGCCCTATTTCCCAAAGTACAGAGGTTCACTAATCAAGTTCGTTTCTGGTCGGATTTGAGCAAGAAGACGCGATCAACCTTGCGTGTCTTCTTGACACCTTTCTCTAGAAACGGTGTTTAGAAATTTTGATTACTTGTCTAGTTTGTTGTTGACATGCAGTTAAACTTTAAGAGTTGATAAAACATGCATTTGCTTCACTAAAATAGTCAAAACTTTTGAAAGAAGTAAAAACTAAAAGTTCCTCGCCACTGTTTATTTGCCTGATTGTCAGGCAAAATTCTGTCCAGATTTCACCCAAAAAAAAGCGTTAAAAACTCTCTGGAAATGAACTTGAGAGGTGTGCTTCATTCTCTGAAATTTTTTTTTTTCCATACACGAAGGAAAATATAATTTGGGGCATTTTTCCAATGTAATGAGATAATTACACAAAACGTGTGAAAATAATAACGCATTGTTTGATAAAGTGAAGGCTCATTTTACTAATTTACAATAGAGCTCATATCAATTACACATAGTTTTGAGAATTATCTGATGAAAGCAATAGAGCACTTTTTCTGTGTTTACATAGCCTCATCTAAACACTAGGAAGGCTGGGAGAATTCTGAAAGTTATGCAAACTCTCGAATACAGGTTTGCATAACTGTGTCGAGTTCTCTTAACCCTCCTTGTGTTTAGATGGAGCTTTGTAAACATGGAAAAAGTGCTCTATTGCTTAAATACTGATACCTTAAGGCAATATGGGCACTTTGTGTGTTCCAAACAGGACCCCAAGTCCCACTTTAAAGGGTTGTAAATGGGAATATTTGGTTTTTGACAGAAAGAGACTGGAGCCAAGAGTGTTGCCATGGCAACAGCACAATGGGTGTCACGTTGCTTTTGTGATGTACATTTTTGGAGGACTACCCAGTAATTAGATAATATGTTTTTTTCAAGGTGATTACAATGTATGTCCAATTTGATTGTTGATTTCACCATTTCTTGTCCCTTGTTTGTTTTTAAGTCAGTCTTGTGCCTTTCACTCTATCGTATTCCTAGTATTAAACTTCAATATTTGCAGCATAATGTAATCAATCTTTCTTTTATTATTTGTTTATAGTTATAAAATAATACATTTTATGTTTCAATGAACAGTACATGATTGTATATACCTATGCAAATGTCAACTAAACTAAAAACTTAATGTGTGACAAAAAATTGCTCAGTGTAATCTGTCAAACTATTTTTACTTTTTGTCCAAGTTGATGGACATTAAATCAAGAAACGTATGTTTACATTCATTAATGTATGGAGTTTAATATATCCTTTTCATTGAAAACAAATTAAAATTTACAAAAACGTCAACTTGACTTGTTGGTCACATGCAGTCCCCTGTTTATAGTGCCTCTCCTCCCTAATTATGTAAAGAAACTCAACCTTAGATGAAAGATACAACACCAATGTTTTGGAATGCTCTCACTGTTTCTGCAATCTGTTTATAATTTAAATAATTATAATATATTTTATACTAGCAGGATCAGAAGCAAAATTAACTGAAAGGCCTCAGACTTAAGATTCTTAAGGGTGTTAGCAGTAAACAATGTTTGACAATGTGCAATGTTTGCACTGCATATTTTCACTGAAGCAGATGTAGTGCAGAGCATCAGCGGTTGACAAAATGAAAATTGAGCCTGCAATGATTTCATTCATGGAGAAAACACATCATCCAAGATGTTGGACAAAAATGATGATTTTGTCACCAAAGAAAGCTGCAAATCTTTCTCTAATTTCTGAAAGTTCCAAATGGGAACTCATGAAAGACAAAATTCAAGATCTTTTTTTTTTCTGGTAAAGTCAAACTAAACTCATCCTACAGATCACTTTTCGTGTTGCTTTGGTTGTCCTTACAAATTATTAGCTGTCTCAGACAACTGAACAACTGCGAATGTAGATCCCTGGTAATGCAAACAAATTTTGTCAAATTTTGCTCTTTGAAATTTTGAAAAGCCTCCGATGTCTGTCAAACCCAAAAATGGGTAGAAATTTAACATTTGGTTCAAGCAAAATTTTGGAGTGGCAAAAATTCATGCAAGCAAAATTTTGCAGTCATAATATGGCAGTATCAAAACAAACATTTTGAGAAAAGAAAATTCGAAACAACAAAGATTTGAAGATATGAGAGAAAGCATTCATACATGTATTTACCACATCTTTTAACCCAGAAAGAGGGTGGAGCATATACATGTATTCTGAACTGAGGTGAACAATGTTTGACATTGTGAAGTATATATGAAATAATTCACATTTGAACTGCGGTTGTAGATGAAAGTGAAGAATGATCATCGCANAAAAGTTCAAAATGGGAACTCAACTCATAAGAAAATTTAAGAAATGTTTCTTTTTTTTTTTCTGGTAGAGTCAAACTAAACTCATCCTACAGACTACTTTTCGGTGTTTTGGTTGTCCTTACAAATTATTAGCCGTCTCAGACAACCGAACAACTGCGAATATGGATCCCTGGTAATGCAAACAAATTTTGTCAAATTATGCTCTTTGAAATTTTGAAAAGCCTCCAATGTCTGTCAAGCCAAAAATGGGTAGAAATTTAACATTTGGTTCAAGCAAAATTTTGGAGTGGCAGAAATTCATGCAAGCAAAATTTTGCAGTCATATGGCAGTATCAAAACAAAAATTTTAAGAAAAGAAAATTTGAAACAAGAAAAATTCGAAGATATGAGAGAAAGCATTCATACATGTATTTACCACATCTTTTTACCCAGAAAGAGGGTGGAGCATATACATGTATTCTGAACTGAGGCAAACAATGTTTGTAATAAGTGTTTCATTCATTCAGTGGGTAAGAGCATAACATACAAGTTGCAATTTGAAAACAGTTTTGTACTGTTTGGAATTAGATGTTGCTTTAGGGAGGGGGAGGGCCAGGTTGTTATTGATTACTAGGGGAAAATTGCATGTGGTATTTGATTGACCAGAAACAAGGGAAAATCTGGCTAGCCATCTTGACTGGCAGCCATGACTAAGGCCGTTATTTCAGCCGTGCAAAAACAAGTTGTACTTAATGCGATTGGTCAGTTACATGTTGTTAGTGTTAACTCATCCATTTTCAAGTTTCAGTTTTGGTTTTGTTGAGGTCATGATTAAGTTGGCATCTCATGAGTGCCATAAATGAACAATGCTTGTTGAAAAGCACCAATGAAAATGCAACTAACAGAATTGACTGAGACACTACTCACAGGTACACTAACTTAGAACAAACACTACTTGGTCAACTT